TTACTTAATTAGAAATGAGTTATGACTACATGAGTGATTGACTAATATGACTATATAAGCAATTGTCAATTTAGCATAGCTGCATAATAGAATAATAGTGTACTAGACTATCCTACTCAGTAATATACTAATACCATTTCAGTATATGATCTGTTAGACTCAAGTTAAAAGTTACTCTTTCTTATTAACTTGTGAGTCTAATTAAATAATTACTAATTACTAATTAGTGACTTAAGCCTTAGGGGTAAACCAGTAAAAGGATATTGAAAAATATAATAATCTTATGATTTTCATCCCTTTATACTAATAATATTTGACTATGAGAATATGAGATGGTTATATGTTACGTATATGTTAATATGTATAATCGATTGAAAGAATCAATATTACCTTCTTATTCATTAATGTGTTCTTTCATTATATAAATCAAACTACTTTGTAATATCTTCATATATAACTTTATGCAAATATATAATGATAAACGAGTCTTAATTATCAGTCTTGTAGACTAAATAAGTATCGAATACCAAATTGCAAATTTCGATGTCACAACAACTCATCAAATCATGATTATGACACTATTAACTAAATGATCAAATCAGAAGCAGATAATAATCTGATAGTAAAACATTAATACATTAATGCACTAAACTTTTATAATCTACTTCGTAATAAACTAGTAAGATCAGTATGGCTAAACTTGAATCATAACATGATATGTATTTATAAAATTAATGAGAATTTGCATATAATATGATGCCTCAATATGAAGTGATGAAGTCTCGGCTTGATATAAAACTTGTTAACTAGCAAAAAGTTAGAAAGTAGTACAAAATTTTTTGAAATAAAAAACAGACTCGAACCGTAATTTAGTAAATCTGAAATAAAGCTGATCTAAATAATGTTAAATCGTAGAAGAACCAAACCCGTGAACGAACCGAACCAGTTATAACCAAACTAAAATAAAACTAAACCAAAAAAGAACTGAACCGTTTCCAACCTGAAACTGTTTGAACCGGGATAATAACCATTTACACCGAACCGTTAACAAACCGCAACCCGTCTGCACCAAACCGTTTACTACCCGGACTTTTTACAACCCGCACCGTTTACAACCCGAACCGAATTTAAACCGGGTTAAAAACCATTTACACCGAACCGTTAACAAACCGCAACCCGTCTGCACCGAACCGTTTACAACCCGGACTGTTTACAACCCGGACCGTTTACAACCCGAACCAAATTTAAACAGGGTTAAAAATCGTTTACACCGAACCATTAACAAACCGCAACCCGTTTGCACCGAACCGTTTACTACCCTGACCGTTTACAACCCGTACCGTTTACAACCCGAACCGAATTTAAACCGGGTTAAAAACCGTTTACACCGAACCGTTAACAAACCGCAACCCGTTTGCACCGAACCGTTTACTAACTGAACCGTTTGGAACCCGAACCGAATTTAAACCGTTCAAGAATAAACCGAAACCAAACCGAACCGATAATTATTTAAACCGAACCGAAACTGACCCGTAAGACATTTGAACCGATTTCAAACCGACCCGATTTCAAACCGAACCGATTTCAAACCAACCCGATTTCAAACCGAACCGATTTCAAACCCAACCGAAACCGAACTGTCAAACTGTTTTGACAGTGCTACCAATATGACATCCGCCTCCAAATCCTTCATCTGAAAAGATGAGGATAAGAATTCCTTGGTCAATTCTACTTGTTGTAGACTTGTACCAAAAATAAGCATATCATCAACATATAGACAAATGATGACACCATGACCTTTGTCATCAGATTTGCTATATATACACTTATCAGCTTGATTCACCTTGAATCCAAAAGACAAAATTGTGTCATCAAATTTTCGATGCCACTGTTTTGGTGCTTGTTTAAGTCCATACAATGACTTAACCAATTTACACACCTTATCTTCTTGTCCTTCCAAAACAAACCCTTTGGGTTGTTTCATGTACACTTCTTCCTCTAGATCTCCATAAAGGAATGTCGTTTTGACATCCATTTGATGGATTACTAGATCATATATCGAAGCCATTGCAATTAACAACCTTATCGAGGTTATTCTTGCAACCGGTGCATAGGTGTCAAAATAATCAACACCATGCTTTTGCCTAAAGCCTTGGATAACCAATCTGGCTTTAAATTTCACTATGGAGCCATCCGGTCTCCTTTTCCTAGTGAAAATCCACTTGCAACCAAGTGGTTTGCAACTGGAAGGTAAATCCTCTAAGACCCAAGTGTTATTTCCCATGATGGAATCCATCTAATCATTTATAGCCTCTTTCCAAAATGCACTATCTTGGGAAGAAATTGCTTCACTATAAGTTTTTGGGTCACTATCCACATTGAAGCAATATGGAGTAGTGGAACTAAGGACATCCCTAGATCCTTCAACCAAATAAATTATGAAGTCATCTAGGGGATTCCTAATTTTCCTTTCTCTTTTACTTCTTCTAACATGAGGAGTCTCATCCTCATTATTAGATGAACCTTCATGAGAAACATGTTGATCATCATAATCAACAATTTCCTTTCCTTTGGTATTAACTTGTAGATCCTTTGGTCTACTCATTGATGAAAATCGATTTTCATCAAATATTGCATCTCTTGACTCAATTATCGAATGTTTCGAAATAAAGTCACTTTGTTCTATCACATAGAACCTATAGGTTTTGCTATGCTCAGCATAACCTATAAAAATGCATTCCAAGCCCCTTTCACCGAGCTTTCTCTTTTTGTTGCCGGGCACTCTTACAACTGCCCTACAACCCCAAACTTTTAGATACTTCAAGTTTGGTTTCCTTTTTTACCAAAGTTCATAAGGAGTGGAATCCTTTCCCTTAGTGGGAACACGGTTAAGTATGTGACAAGCCGTCAACATAGCTTCACCCCAAAATCCCTCACTCAAACCGGAGTAAGATAGCATGGAATTAACCATTTCTTGAAGAGTTCTGTTCTTCCTTTCAGCTACACCATTTGATTGTGGTGCATAACCAGCTGTAGTCTCATGAATAATACCCAAAGATTGGAAATATGCCGGATCATAATACTCTCCTCCCTTATCTGTTCTCAATCTCTTAACAAAAGATTCTACTTGCAAATCTACCTCTTTCTTATAAATATCAAATTTAACCAAGGCTTGGTCTTTGGAATATAAAAGATACACATAGCAAAATCTTGAAAAATCATCAATAAACGTAACTATGTATCTTTTGTTTCCCAAAGAAGGTGTACTATAAAAGTCACACAAATCACTATGGACCAATTCTAAGATCTTAGAACATCTTTCAACTTTCTTGAAAGGAGTTCTGGTGATCTTATTAAGCATGCAAGTAGGACATTTATCAAGAGCAATATCACAAGGAGGAATAAGTTCTAGTTTAGACATGAAAGACAACTTATTGTAATTAACATGACCTAATCTAGAATTCCATAAAGAAAATAACTTCATACTATTGTCATTACCAACATTAAAACAAACATCATCCAACATTACAGACCTCTCTCTTAAAGAGAGTTTAAACAATCCATGAGACAAATAACAACGTCCAACAAAAGTGCTACCCTTAGTTATTATACATCTATCTGCTTCAAAAACTAGTCTAAATCCAAGTCTATTCAGGGTTGGGCCTGATACAAGATTTCTAGAAATACTAGGAGCATATAATACATCCCTAAGGATGATACTATTGTCCGAACTAAACATCAGCTCAACTTGTCCTCTTCCTTGGACCATGATGGTAGAGTTGTTTCCCATAAAGAGCTCTTCTCCATCACCAACCTTGTGAAAGGTTTTGAACCAATGCTTCACCTTGCATACATGCCTTGAAGCCCGCGAATCCATCCACCAAGAGTCATCATCCTGCACCATAAAAATGTTAGGATCCGTTGCATTTAAATCCATACCGGAATTAAATTCAACCTCATGTAATAAATTACCTTTGGTGGGTTGGTCCTTGCTTTTAAAAGCTTGACCGTCCTTGGATTTCTCCATTTTCTTCTTGAAAATGTAGCAGTCCTTCTTGCGGTGTCCAGTCTTACCGCATTCCCAACAAGCATTCTTGTTGTTGTCCTTTTGTTTCTTGGACATGCCCTTAGAGGAATTGAACTTCTTCCTCTTACCACTAGTTGAAGCACTAGATTTGCCGTCCTCCACCACATTAATGGTGGATGAGCTAGGATTTTCATCCTTAGCCTTCTCCATGGCCCTTATCCCCTCTTCAATTTGAAGATGGGTAGCCAAATTAGACAAAGATATGTCCTCCTTTTTGTGATGCTTAACATCTTTCCAACTATTGGGCAGCTTATCAATAATACTCGAAACAACAAACAATTCATCAACATTGATACCATGTTGTTTCAAGTTACTATAAATACGTTGTATCTCATGAAATTGGTCCATAATCAATCTACCTTCAACAAATTTAAAGTCATTAAAATTACTTACTAGGAATTTCTTGCTAGAAGCATCCTCCGCCATATACTTGCTTTCTAACGATTCCCATAGCTCTTTAGCAGACTCGACATGTTGATATACATCGAACAAATCATCCTCCATCCCATTGAGAATGTGACCCCGACATATAAAGTCATCATTATCCCACTTCGATTTCTCACGCACATCCTCCATGGTTTCATTCTCATGTTCTAATGGCCTAGGAGTACTAATCACATAGGCAACCTTCAACGATGTAAGAAGAAAATACATCTTCTTTTTCCATCGTCGAAATTCCACACCGTCAAACTTCTTGAGTTTGACAAAGTTTGTGGTAAGATCTTTCACACTAGACATGTTGTGTTATTAACGCTTTAGATTGTTATTTCAATAATAGTGCTAGAACAAATTCTACCCCTAGAATTTGAGAAAACAGAAAATTATAAAGAAGAATAATACAAAATACACTACCAACCAAACACCAACAAGTTTAGAAAATACTAAATACAGAGAATCAATCTAAACTATAAGTATGAAAGACTATACTTGCCTCATTCCAAGCCAAAAGAACAACCAAGATCATGAGAATACCATGGATCGGACCACGTGAGTCTTCGATTCTTGATACTCGTCTAAGGCGTGAGAACACTTTCCTAAAGCGTTAATCTCCCCCACAACGGTGCTTGGGTTGAACTAGAAACACGCTTTGAGATACAATAGACGAACACTACACACTAAGCACTTAGATGTGTAGAAAGATGATCAAATTCTCAAACAATAAACTTAGAAGATGAAGAATTAATGAAGAGATTGCAAGTTTCTTCAATAAAGGTGTAGAGAGGAAAATTTCAGAGAGGAAGGTTTTTCTGTATCTATCTCAAACCAAGGCCCCTTCACGGTTATAAAGGAAATAACCGTAAAAAACCGAAGACGAGCGAGGAGATGCGGGCGCGCCACCACAGCAGCGCGGGCGCTCCACCATGGGGCGCGGGCGCGCCACTAGCTCGCGCGGGCGCTCCTCCTCGTTCTTCCAAAATTCCAACTTTTCCAAAAACCTGACGCGATTTTGTCGCGGTTTAGGCGCGGGTCGCGGAAAACCATGACGCGGGCGCGCCATCCGGAGGCGCGGGCGCGCCTCCTAAACTTTACAGATTTTCCAGAAACTCAGCGCGATTTTGTCGCGGTTTTGGAGCGATCCGCGCTTGTCTTTCACAAGCGCGCTAACAAGTGGAGCGTTCTCTCCACTACAACACTCTAAATAATCCAACTGACCTATTGCTTTGTGTGACAGGCTCTATAAACTTGTTTCAAAATCGATTGTGATGAGGCTAAAAAATATCCTCCCTGTGATTGTCTCGGAAAACCAGAGTGCTTTCGTTCCAGGCCGTCTTATAACTGATAATGCTTTAATAGCCCTGGAATTATTCCATACTATGAAGAAGAGGAGTACAGGGAGAAAACGTTTCATGGCTATGAAACTAGACATGAGTAAAGCCTACGACCGGGTTGAATGGGGTTTTCTGCGACGCCTTCTTCTCACAATGGGGTTCGATGGAAGATGGGTGAATTTGGTGGTGGAATGTGTCTCATCGGTGACTTACTCTTTTGTCATAAATGGGGATGTTTGTGGTGCTGTAACGCCTTCGAGAGGGCTCAGACAGGGGGACCCTCTATCTCCGTATCTTTTTATCTTAGTAGGCAGTAGCTGATGTTTATTCTAGCACGCTGCAGAGTAATGTACAGGAAAGGAAATTACATGGGGAAAAAGCTAGCAGGAATGGGCCAAATATATCTCATCTTCTCTTTGCTTATGATAGCCTCCTCTTTACTAGGGCAACCAGACAGGAATGCCAAACAGTAGTTGAAATCCTCAACCAGTATGAGCTGGCGTCCGGGCAGAAAATTAATTACGATAAATCTGAAGTGTCCTTTAGTAAAGGAGTAACAGCTGATCGAAGGGGAGAATTGATGAGTATCCCGAGTATGAGACAGGTCGACAGACATGAAAAATATCTTGGCATCCCTACTATTGTGAGTCGATCACGAAAAGCAGTCTTCGAAGCTCTTACAGACAGAATTTGGAAGAGGCTACAGGGGTGGAAGGAGAAACTTCTTTCAAGAGCAGGGGAGGAGATTCTTCTTAAATCTGTCATCCATGCAATTCCCACATATCTAATGGGGGTTTACAAACTCCCAGCTACGGTTGTGCAGCGCATCCAATCTGCTATGGCCAGGTTTTGGTGGGGCACTTCGGAAGGAAAAAGAAAGACTCATTGGAGAAATTGGAGCTCCATGTGTACGCTAAAATGTCTCGGAGGTATGGGATTCAGGGACTTGAATGTCTTCAATGTCGCGCTATTAGGAAGGCAAGCCTAGCGCCTCATCAAAGCTCCAAACTCTTTGCTTGGACGAGTCTTTAAAGCAAAATACTATCCCAAGAATGAATTTCTGGAATCCTCTCTCGGCTTGACAGGAAGCTACTCTTGGCGTAGCATATGGTCGTCGAAGGCTCTTGTAAAAGAAGGTATTTTATGGAAGGTGGGAAATGGCCGTAACATACACCTCTGGAAAGACCCTTGGGTAGCTGACGCTGAGGGGCGGTTTCTCACCAGCACAACTGTCCCAGAGTTGCTACGAGTCAGCGATATTATTGATGGAGAAAAAAGAGAATGGTGCCTTGATGTTATCAACAACAATTTTAATGAAAGAGATAGGCAAATAATTCTAGCTATCCCCATTAGTGAAGCGGACCAGGAGGATGAATTATGCTGGGCTTTCTCAATGACAGGGCACTACACTGTGAAATCAACGTATATGCTTGGAAAGGGAGGTGACTTTGATACCTTCCACCAAGCTTGGGTGGAAATCTGGAAAGCAGAAGTTTCTCCTAAAGTAAAGCACTTCTTCTGGCGCCTCTGCTCAGGCACTCTCCCCACACGAAGCCTCCTGCTCCACAGACACATGATAGAAGATGATTCTTGTCCGTGGTGCGGAGATGCAACAGAAACGGTTGAACACGCTCTGGTGGGATGCTCAAGGGTCAGGGACTTATGGACAGAGTGTAACTGCGAGCAAATGACAGATTGGAGCACTGCAGCATCTGTTTGTGATTTGGTGGTGAGCTGGAAAGCCCTGGGCAGTAAGGTTAAGCAACGGGGCATGTTCCTTGCTTGGTGCATATGGGGGGAAAGGAATCGTAAGATTTTTGAAAACAAAACCACACCAAATGAAATCCTTTCCCAACGTGTTCACAGATATGTAGATGAATTTGATAAATATAATGCCCGCATTTACAAAGCTGTGAACCCCCTTTACAATCGCAGCTCCAACAAGCTGGGTTGGTTTGGGGATTGTTGCTAGAAATCATGAAGGTAAGGTGCTATGGGCAGCAACAAGAAGAACGAGAGCTTTCTGGACTCCCAAAATTGCAGAAGCCAAAGGATTACTTAGAGCTCTGAATCTGGCAGCAGGTCATAGCGATATTATCTTGGAATCTGACTGCAAAATGGTCATTGATCGCTTATCCAAGGGAGCAAGATACTCAACTGAGCTGTACACTGTATTGGGAGATATATTTTTTATGTGCTCGAAATTTAATTCTGTAAATTGGTCTCATGTGAGACGAGATGGGAATAGTGTTGCTCATTCTCTAGCTAAGCTTGTTCCATTCGGGGTCGAACAAATTTGGGAGAACACATGTCCGGATATTGTTGCCCCCTATGTACTCATGGATTCTCTTTCCATTTAATTAATACAAGCTAGCTTGTTTTCAAAAAAAAAAAAAAAAAATACAAACTTTAAAAATAAACCAAGCTTATGCCCAATTATATTAGTTCCTGAGGGCACTTTTTGAATTTATGATTATTTTTTACGTGTGACCAAAATCAGAGCATGAATTTATGATTATATTTGATGTGTGACCCAAACGATCATAAAAGAACCTCAATTAATCTTGTAATTACACCACAAATTCAAAAATTCATAGATTATATTTACTCTTGTTCCTAAATAAACTCATAATTAAGACTTCTCAAGTACTTTGCTTGATGAGGTAATACATGATCTTAGGTGTGATCAAATTCTTAGTTGAGAACTCTAATAATCCACATACATTCCTCTTTGTATTTGGGTACAGGATCACAACTTACAACACCATCCGCCATAGCCAACCTCGAAATAGAACATAACTCAACAAAATTGCAGCATCTTTAATTTGAAAGATTACTACCAAAACTACATTTTGAGGTGTCATGATTTCTCAAATCATTTTAGTTTTACTCCTATCACCCTCATCGTTGTTTAATTTGTCCTTGAGTAAAGCTATAGTATGCTGACTCTTGCATGTTCTTGACTTAGATGCACCCGCTTGATCACCGAGTGTTTGACCATGTGCTTATCCATATTACTACGTTGTAACATACTTCGTAGCTGCTATCAATGGTGGATTTAGAGATTTTAGTTTGGAACTTAAAAGGGCATATATCAATACAATAAAACTACTTTAGAGGACACTATTTATATATTATACCTTCCTTACCTATTTGCATCATCTTTTTCTTTTTTAATGTGCATAGAAAATGTAATTATCTTTTTTGGGAATTGTATTAGCATAAAAATAAATGGAAATACGTAGTATAAAACTTGTTGAAATGTAAACCATAGAAATTATTATGGGTAGCTTCCACTTGGTTGATTATTTGATGAACAAAGCTGTTGGTTAGTCTAATAAGGAAAACTATTAAATTTTATAGGAGTAATATTGATATTCTCAATTGTCCACATTTTTTCCATTAATTTTGAAGGGAAAGGATGGAAAGTCAATATTTTCTATCCCGTGTTAAACAAACACAAATTATATACTTTGTACATTTCTACACTATTGCTTACTTATGCTCATTATCGTTGTGTTTGGTAACATAACATATTAATTTTGAGGAACAACAAATCATACTTAATCATTGAACTTCTTTTGTACTGTAAAACCCTCGTACTTACATAAAAGTAATCCCTAGCTGGTCTTCAAATGCATTAAATAATGATACTAAAATTCTCCAAAATTATGTCGCACTTGACCAGGATTATGCAACAATGTAAGCCACTATTGCTTCTGAATTTCGCCTTTACTCTTGGACAGTGCATGCAATTGCTTTTCTAAAGTAACATGACCTAATGTTTCCTTGTCAAAACCTCTTGCACTCCTTTTTCATGGGACGTTTAATACAACTAGGCTTTTGCTTTGTACAGAAGACCTAAATGAAGGGATTAAGAACAGGCAGGAGTGGTTTCGATTCAAAAAGATATAATAGTAATTGGTAAATGAAGGGTGTTCTACAAGAAAACTCAGACTAAGTCATTATTTGATGGGAGGCTTTGGCTACTTATCCTATTGGTTAAAATGAAGCCATAATATTACCTTCCCTAAGCCGGTTTAACAAAAAATATATCCATCGTGGATGAGAAGCCTTGATATTTTCTAGAATGTATCCGGCTTTGGAATGCAATCTTATGTTTCACAAAATTGTCTATACATTCTAATCATGAAGTAGAAACGCAATTTGTTTCAATAAAGAACCAGTGTATGTCGTTCCTTCATTTGCCACTACTATGTCCTGCATATCTATTGCCTAAACTCCGTGTTAAGACCACATTGTGCACTTTAGAAAGTTTGGTACATATTTTTCACTCACCATTTCAATTCAATTCATTCGCATGTCCTATAACTTATAAAATTGAACAATGTACTGACCATTAACACATCACATAAAAAAAAAATCAAGATGAGATAAAAGCTTTCCATCAATCCTAGACCGATGCTGACACATTTTTCCCCTTCGGCCAACTCTATTGACTCAGTCTGATTGTCCAGTTCCATAGCTTTGGCACTGGATTCTTCGGATTCTGGCCTGCTGTCAATATCAGCAAGCTCCCCAGACTTTGGTTGACATTCCGAGTCTTTGGGCACAGATGAGAAATCAGCCTTTTCCTTCCCCAAAGATTTTTCTTTTGCTGGGGTTCCTTGGGCCGAAGCACTTAAGCCTTTAGGCCTTTTTGTTCATCGATCCTTTTCTTTTTCCTCCAATCATCCCGGTCGTTGCAGCAACTTTTGGATGGTTTGAGGTGGTTGCATCTCCGGGCCTCCTTTCGGCTTCCCTGAATTTTTTCGGAGTGTCCTTGTCCGAAACATAGATCATTGTTTGGTGGTACGTTGAGACAACTCCTTGAATGTCGTGAATGAGGGGTCTCCCCATGATCACATTGTACACAAACGGAACGTCCACGACCAAGAATTCTGCCATGATGTTCTGGGCTGCTCGGCCTTCGCCGATAGTGACAGGAAGCAGAATCTCCCATCCGAATATGATGAAGAACCATTGAACCCAGATACCGGGAAGGGTACTGGAGTCAAGTGCTTGGTCTCCAACTTCATCTGGTCGAATGCTCCCCGAAAGAGGATATTCGCACCACTACCGCCGTCGACGAGAGTTCACCAGACGTTGTGGTTTGCAATGCCCGTCACAATTACCAACGAGTCATCATGGGGGTACCCCACTCCCCGGCAGTCTTTGGCTGTGAACAGGATGTTCGGCATCGGAGACTGGGATGCTCAGATGTTAGCATGATTCACCTCATGGGTCAAACCCCTCAAGTGGCGTTTCAGTGCATTCCGAGAGGTTCCCCCGAAATTGACAAGGATATTAGGAGTTTCTTTTCCCTGAGACTTGTCCTTTTCTGGGAAAAATCTAGATCTTACCGAAGATCCTTTTCGGCTTTTTTCTCTTCGCGGCGATGCGCGAGATATGTTTTCTAGTAGCCCTTTTGAGCCATGTCCTCGATCTTATCCTTCAGCTGGAGGTTGTCCTCGGTGTGATGTCCGGGAGATTCATGAAACTCACACCATCGGTCGTTGCCCTTTTGCTGATGGCATGGTGGGGGTGGCCTTGGCTTCTTAAACCTCACCTCGTCTTTGGTCGTGCTGTAGATTTTAGCACGAGGAAGAATGAGGGGGGTGTAAGAATCTTATCTCCCCGGGTAGGGGGGTCTCTCTCCTTCTTCGGTTCAGGCGCCGATGACGATTCTGAGGCTTTCGCCTTCCCTTTCCTCGGCCCCTGGTCTTTGGACAATTGTCCCTTTGCTTTCCCAGCCCCAGATTGGGACTGGGATTTTGCTTTGTTCCATTCTTCGGCTCGGTGTATTTATTCGAGGCGTCCAAAGCTTCCTATAAGGTCTGCAGGGGATGCATGACCATGAAGTTAGGGAACTTTCTAGCTTATAAGCCATTCCGTAGTGCAAACACGGGTAGGCCCTGGTCTAGACTTGTTATTCGGGATGACTCGTTGCTGAAGCGAGTCAGATAGTCTCGGAGGCTTTCATCCTCCGCTTGATGCAGACCCAGCTATGCAATTGTTTTCTCCCGGCAATTTGCCATAGAAAACTTGCTCTTGAATTTGTTGGAAAGGTCTTTCCAACCGGTTATAGAGCCTTCTTTCACCCCCTTATGATCCAAGCTTGAGCAACCCCTTTGAGATTCGTTGGGAAGTACTTGCACCAGGTAGCTTCGGACCGGGGATTAAGGTACATGTGCCCCTCATAAGAGGCAGTGTGGTCCTTCGGGTCCGAAGTACCGTCGTAAGTAATGTGCGCTGGGATTTTCATCGTTGCCACATGCTCTTCCAATATCCAGCTTTAGAAGGGTGAACTTGTAAGAACCATGATGGGCTTCCCCTTGTGTGTAGCTGGAAGGACCTCTCTTCTCCCTCTTATAGAGGTGGAAGTGGTTTTCGTCCTCGGCTGAGACGGTTCAGGGTAGGGTTCAATTCCCTCTGGGTAAGTGAGACGGCTATGCACGTTCGATCACTTCCTTCGAGCCTAGACGTTCTTGAACAGTTTGGTGAGCATGCTCTTGCCACGTTGAAATGTTGTTGCTGCTTCTGAAACTCTTGGAGTCTCGGGTTCTGGAATCTCCAAAGAACTGGGGGTTCTTTTTCCTTTCCCGCTCGGTTCTCCGGGTGTCCTCTTCCCATTGGTCCTTGACTTCCTTGAAGGATGGAGCTTGTCCATCCTCCTCTTGTCCAATCTTCCTTCTAAGGTTTCTTGGCTGAAGGGGTGAGGGATCATGGGGTGTTGATGGCAAGTTGTCTACTTGGGCCTTCATGAATTCCATGAAGACCGCAACGGCTCTTGCCATCTCCTTCTTAAAGGGCCCCGTTTGAGGAGTTGATCTCAGCTGCGACCGAGAGTGCAAGCTTGGAGGAAGACTTGTTCCATATGCATGACTCGGCCTAGACAAGATTTTCGGCTGGCGAGTATGACGAGCTGGTGACCTCTCCGACGCTACCCTTTCCGGGGAAGGGGGAGCTTTCGAAGAGGATGAGGATGGCTCAGATGATGGTACAGTGGGTGGATTACTCTGCACCGTAACCAAATCTCCCCTCGAGGGGAGGACCGTTCTTAATAGTGCTCTTGGCACTTTTACCACTCTTAGTCAAATTTTTGCTAAGATTGGATGATTTTTGGCTTAATTTGATGTATCCTCCCTACAGATGGTCCCAAATTGTTTTGGAATGAACACAATAAGACCTTCGGCATGTCCTTTTCGGTGGGAGAAGACTTATCTCGGTCCAAGTAGAGACTGGGTCGAGGATTTCTTGCACAGCAAACACACAAAAACTAGCCTCGGGGGTGGTGCCGAGGAAGACCCCTTCGATGCTAAATTCAGGTTATTAAGAGAGAAAGCTATGCAAGAGAACTAATTGTTTGAGGATTATTATGCATATTTCTGAATGAATGATAAATGAGACAATTGAAGGCTTTTATACCTTGCTCAATAGAGGTGCGGGTCACAGGTCAGATAGGTTTTCCATGCTGATTGGGCTTGGCTGACTTAGCATGCTTTGGAGAATTGAACCTTGCTTTTGGGCTTTTGTACTTAAATCATTTGGACCAGCCCAATTAGTGATGACTAAATTGGACCCTAACATTTTCAATTTCAGATATCTCAGATTGCTGAAGGTAGTGAAGCTGCATCAAAAAGGCTCCTTTTCTAGATAGTATCAGGGTGAACTACCCTAGATTGAAGTGAATCTTCAAGTTCTTTCACCTTCAATAATAATTCATCCACAACCTTTTGACTTCCATACAACTTTGAATCAAGTTCATGGACTTCGGATTTTGAATTTTCAGACTCTGTCATTATAGCCATTACCATCTTTTCTGACAATTGTAAAAGATCTCTTGTAGGGATTTCCCTTGGTCCCCAATTGCATCGCCTTTGATTTGATGGATGATCCTCTGCAAACCTGATTCAAGATCAACTAATTGACCCTTGACCTCAACCAACTCTAGCTCATCACTGTCCTTCCAGATCTCTGAGCCAAGTTCATAGTCTTTAGCTTTCAATTTTCACATTCCAAAGTTAAAAACCATTACCATCTTCTCCATAACTTGTATAAGATCACTTGTAGCAAGAGGCTTCAAGTTATTAATTTCATCACCTCCCAAATTCTTAATAATTCTTTGCACGCCTCCCTCCAAATCAAGTAATTTCTCTTTAAGCTTTGCTAGTTTTTGCTTAGAGTTGATGCTCTTATTAACCTCTAATTCAAGTTCATGGACCTTGGATTTCAAACTTTCAAAATTGGAGATTGTCGTCACTACCTGCTATTCTATTGCCTGTAAAATATCATCTGTGGAAACAGATGTTTGGTCCCCAATTACATAATTATAACCTTTGCTCCTAACAATCGCTGGTTTTTGCTCATGGCCAAATGCTTTATTCAATTCTTTCCTTCAGATGTTCTTAAATTATTTTAATTTTAATTGCTTTGTACAGGATCAAAAGTAAGAGTAATGTAAAACTGAAACCCCAAATTCAAAATATTCATAAAATTAGAAAAACCTAAAATAATCTATTTCCTTCGGATGTTCTTGAAAAATTTTAATTTTAATTGCTTTGTACAGGATCAAAAGTAAGAGTAATGTAAAACGGAAACCCCAAATTTAAAATATTCATAAAATTAGAAAAACCTAAAATAATCAAAGCCAAAATAAGATAAGGAATGTGAACTAAGCATAGTGATCTCAATTCATTCGAGATTCTCTCACATCACATTTAGGAGAAATCCAATAAGTTTTGGAAAAAGAAAGATGGGAAAAACTCCATTACAACTGGCTTTAATGGAGGAAAGAATGAAACCACCCTCATTAAATCAACATAAATAGTGGAACAAAAGTCAAGTAAATAGGGGAACCAGTACCAACACATTGAGCATGCCTTCCATTCTTTAAATTTGATTCCATTATTCTTTGTTCTTCAGATTTTCATAATAGGCTTAAGTTTCTAGATTTTAATAATTGATTTGATACAAACATCAGAAACCATTTGATTCCCAATTCCACCTGCCAAACAAATTCTAATCCAGATCAAACTCCAGCAACATGTACACTCTCTTTGAATCATGAGATTCATTATCTGTAATCCACAAATCTTACATTCCCTTCCCACATTGCATAGAAGAACACAAGCTCAAATGCTCAACCAAACAAACAGCAAATTTCATCACTTTAATTAAAAAGATGATTTGAGTAGTCAAATCTCACAAAATCATACATTCTAGATTTTAATTGAAGAACTCCATAGTCATTAGTCCATATATAGCACTGAAAGAAGGGAAAAAAAATCCCTAGCGCTTGATGACAATGCACATCAGTTAAGCTACAAGATATGTGAAAGCAGTTAAGAGTGCTCAAAATCACCACCCCAAACATATACATTTATCCATGATCAAAGCTTCCTTTTCAGCTTACTCAGGAGGATCGGCAGTGGAATCAACTATCGGTCTCTTTCCAAGGATACTTTCACCATCCCCGAACATATACCTATACTTGACGACTCATTTGTATAATCATCATATTTAGCACTCTCGGCAACAAGTGACACTTTATTGCTCCAGCACTACAATTAAACAAAAGATGTACTTCATAAGGTTATGTTTTAAAATCAAATCTATCTATGGCCAGCATGATATTAATTCATTACCATATGATAATCGAACGGACCAACATCAATAAGTTTCTCCCCGTGTGAAGACCAAATCCGAACCACTTCATCGCAATTCTTACGAGTAGCCCGCGTCAAGAAAAACCTGCAGTGGAGGAGAAAAAACAAATTACACACAAAGGTTTTGTCAAAGATTAAAGACAGTAATTAACTAAAGAAAAAGAACCCACCTGCCACTAGCATCCCATTGAAGATTCCTAGCAATGAAGTGTACAAAGGCCAATTGTTGATGTTTTATCACATCATAAAAATACAACTCTCCGGAACCATTTAATGGTCCTTGCATCACCATATAGTTACCATTTGGAGACCAATAGAGAAAATGTGCAATCATATTACTTACACTTTTGGTCCTCTGCCTCAAATAATTTTTATCCTCGTTCATAGTATAAAAGGTTACTGTGGTTTGCCCTGCATTATCAGCTCCGCGACTAACTGCAAATTGTTTCCCATTACACTCCCAAGCTAGATCAATGTAATCATGGTGAGGAGAAATGAACCCGGCCTTTCCAGACTTAAGGCTTATCAGAAAAATTTTCTTGTAGTTAAACCCTGTGCATATACAGGCAAGATAGTCTCCATCACTTTGCCACAAAAGCTTATAATCATCCACCCCTTCCCAAGAATGACCATACAATTTTTTACCACTGCATATATCAACAATTTTCATCTGCAATTGCAAGTCATTACATGTAATTATGCTCAAGGACAACCCTTATAAAAATACAAGATGTATATATGTAATTCTACGATCTTACATAAGAGTCACCAGAGAGTGCTAGTACTGATGCCGAAGGTGACCAACCAAACTCGCGTACTTGTTTGAACATCAAATGTTTAACACGAGAAAATGTTTTGGTTTCATAGATAGTCACCATACGATTGGATCCTACTAGGGCGGCAAAATAGTTATCATGGTATTCCCATCTACACAAGCATGAGGCAGGAATATTCAATCATCACAAAAATAACTGAGTAGACAAAATAAACTAGCATCGAAATTGACTCACTTAATGTAATCTAGAGGTCGAGCTGAACAAAATTCCTGAGGAACTGCATTGCCAAAGCTTTTCATGATCTTTCCAGTCTTGGCCTCCCAAACTTGTAACTTCATATCATATAAATAAAATTATGATTCCATAACAAACACATACTATCGATATCAGATCAATGTCACCTAATGTAAAAGGAACAAAACATATAGAATTTCGAAAACAACATTACTACTAACTTCTTGGGTGGGTGACAACCAGTACATGACAGTTATATAATTTTCCTTAGCCGAAAATTCAGGTGCAGAGAGCTGCAAAAAATTCATCGGTGTTGGTAAAATAATGATAATTTCTAAATTTCGAACAAGATAATTTAACATCACTCAAATTTAAAATACACCCGACTCGACTCAATTCAACATGACTCTTCCCGACCTACTCGAACCCGACTTAAGTATGGAATTGACCCCTGGTGAGAAAGAAAAAACCTGTCCATCCACAGAAAACTTAAATTCCTGAAAAGAAGGTTGAGTAAGCAAGACGAACAAGTGATTCCCTTTCACACACAGCAACGACGATCCAAAGGGAGACCACCGTATACCGTCGATATTCTTCATCAGCTACAAATGCAAAGAAGCAAGATATAAATTAGGGGTTTTTAACCTAAACTCAACCAACTAATAAAATTATGATGAATTAATACATACATTGAAAGTGCGATTGTACAAAGGCAAAAAAGCATCAGAATCATCATCGTACGTAAAGATGGAGATAGAATGATTATGCAAAATTGAAAAGTATCGCTGCTTCGAAGTGCTGGTAATGGAGGAAGGACGACGGTAAACCTCAGGATTCCTCTGAAACGGCCAACCGTATGGAACCCTAGATTTCGACGCCGCCATTTTCGACGATTAATTTCCTTTTAGAAACCCTAAATCAGAAATCAGAAATCACAAATATCGAACCTTCTTCCTTCAATCTCTTCTCTACTTGGCAACAATATAATTATAATTAATAGCCTAAAAGAAAATTGCCTGATCGTTGTTTGTTTTAAGGACTAGGATGAGAATTGGAGGGTCAATTAATATTATCAGAGTAATTGGGTAAGCTTTTTGTTTATATAGGTCGTCTTATTTCATTACTTAGTACTCCGTATGTAATTAGGTTGCATCAAATAATAATTATTTTAAAAGTAATAAAAAAATTGATGAGGTGGATTGTAGAAAGAAAATAAACTATGCCTGAGTGGAATATTATATATTTCAACATATTTTTTTATATGAAAATCACCCTGAATCTTAGTTTCAAGAACAAAAATAAACGATATTAATTTTATGCCTGAGTGATGCCTAGATAGTTGATAAAAATTTGGGATAACTTTTTGGATTGAACGTTAAATATGGTCATATAATCCTTTATTTGAAAAACCTTTAATAAAACTTATCGATTATATTGCACGTCTACAACAGAATCAACCTTGGACAACACCCAATGTACTCACTAGATTATGGGCTAAAGCTTTTTTTTTTTATATAGGTCATCTTATTACATTACTTAGTACTCCATATTTAATTACTCCGTGTAGAAATTATAAAATTTTAATATTAATAAATTATATAATAAGGTAATTTTAACAAAATTCCAAATGAATATATATTTTTATAATGGGGCATAAATTAAAGAACTAATGGGCATCAAATAATAATAATTTTAAAAATAATAAAAACATTGCTTCAATTCCTATTTTTTTAATGAAATTGCAGCGAGATTAGTATATTAATTTAGTAATTTGCACACTTGTAACGAAGCTAATAAACTAGGAAACACATATTAGCTTAGTATATCAACTGACGATCCCTTTCTTTTTAACTTTTTCATTACTTGTGAATCGTGATATTTTGATAGTAAATAAATCAAGTCACTAATGATTAATGAGAGTATGAACCCATGACAAATTCATTGAATTGTTATTTTAAATCTTAGTTCTTATTACGTT